CCAATAAGAGCCTTCATTAAAAAGGTAGTTCAAATGATGTACAAAGCAGAATGGACATAGTTAAGAAAGAAAAATGATGAAGAATATCAAACAAGAATTCAAAAATAGAACTAGAAAGCTTTTAAGGGTATACTTAGAAGCTGTGGCAAGTAATATCAGAATTCTAAAGTAAACCACTTACAATTGTTCAAAACCAAATACATCAAAAATTTCCTTCTAACTATTGAAACTTTAAATTATAGAAAAACTTAATTATACAAAAATAGCTTATACAAGAGATGCCTTAAGGAAAAAAAAAAGATTGGGTACTTGATTACGTATGAAAAATCTAATCAAGTATTGGAAAAAATTAAAGAAGAAGCATGGAAACAGCTCTATGAAGATAAAAGAAAGGAGAAAAATTAGAACTTATCGAATATACAACAAGCTATCCAATGTGAACAGGAAAAGAAACAACAAAAGAGAAAAGGATGAATAAGAGGTATCCTTAGTGAAGAAGATGCAGAAAAGATCAAAAACTTTGTTGACTCTAAAAGTATGATGACTAAATTTTAAAGTCTTTTCTGGTATATATAGATAGAACTTTTCTATAAGGAAGACTAGAAGAGCCAATGCAAAGATATGGAAGCATGGGAGAAAAAAGAAAAGATCTCCAAAAAAGAAAAGTACTCTCAGAAGGAAAAAAGAAAAAATAATCCAAAAAAAAAGACTATAGAGAGAAAAACAAAATGCAAAGTAGATAAAAACATGGAAAATTGTAATATTAGCTTAAAAATAGCATTAGATAGTATAGCAAGAGAAGTAAAGGAGAGAATTTCAGATAGTTGGGTTTTAAGTTAGTCATAATAGGCTATAGTGTCTTTCTTATACTGAGCTGTAGTTTATAAATTATAATTTACTTGAGTATAAGACAAAGGTTACTATGACAGATTGTACATAGGTATCTTTAGAATAACCAGGTGAGTCAGGGCTTAAAAAATTAGGCATTAGATAGTATAAAACTTGACAATGTAGTTTTTTTTAATGAAAAACAAACCTAAATAAAGTCATGGCATGACTGCTGAAAAAAAAAAAAAAAATTAAAAGAAAGAAAAGAGAACTTGTATAAGGAAAAATAAAAAAACTCGAACTTATTCTGCCTTGGTAGAAATAGTAGAGTTTATATAGCTTTTTAGACATTATAGAATGAAAACCTAAACTTGAAAATCTTGGTATAGGAACCTAATTTGAGAACCTAATTTTGGGAACCTTGCTATGAGAACCTACTATGGGAACCTACTATAGAAATCTAATTATGAGAATCTAATTATGGGAACCTAGATTAAGAACCTTAGGTTAGGAACCTCTAGTTAGAAACTTCAAAATGGAGTCCTTTAGATCAGTATCTAATGTTATATGAACTTTAAAAAACAGTTTTGTTCAAATTAAAGAGTTTGGTACAAGTAGGTTACATTGAGTTACACAAAGTTATACAGAATTATATAAGGTATTCTGCAGCTTGTTGTTATATAAAAAACATCTAAATAGTTTAAAATTAATTAATGATCTGCTACAAATCGATAGTAGTTATACTAATTAAATATAACAGAAGATCATTATGAAAATAATCAAATAGGCAATTTTTTGCTTTAAATAAAATTGTACAACTTTTAATATATGATATATAAATTATTATGGTTAGATTGTCTAATAGTAAAATTATTTAACTTCAAAATTTGATAGTTCATTATAATAACTAATTCAATATTTATTTTGAGCAAGTAGCTTAATTTAGGATACTATAACTATAAATATCTAGTCAATTTCAAATATTAAGCAGGTCAAAAAACTTTTTTTTTTTATTATACAACATCAACAATTCTTCCCATCGATCTTCTGACTACTTTTTTTATAATAATCTGACCTGCGAAAAATTTTTTCTGCTATAACAGACAATAATATTCTTCTCCTTAAGCTTTCTACAACATATTATAGATGAATAACTCCTTTGTATAAGCTCTTTTTAGTCACATTATCTGAATATAACTCTCGGATACTATAGAAAAGTAGTGGATTACAAGAAAAATTGTCAAATACCTCTGTTGTTCTAAATAGTACTCACTAGTAGTTTGCTAGCACAGGGATAGCTAGTACAACAAGTATTTGTACTGTTTTTAGTAAGAAAATAAGTAACAAAATCTTTCTCTTCTAGGAGTGGCCTCTTCTGATATCGTCTTTTAAATTTTTTCTATAACTTGTTAGTATTTTTTAGAGAATTTGGCTTATCCCCTCCAAAAGATCTGCAACACACATTGACAAAAACAATTAGATATTAGCCTGTTGTTTCCCATGCCATAAATAAACAACAAATATATGTTTAGCCAAATATATGTGATAGAAAATCTAAGTTGTTGACATTCTCTATATAATACAGTACCTTGCTCCTTTGAGAATTTAAAGAACAACTTAAGTATTATATATATACAATTTTTACACTGTTCTAAGATAAACATTATTTTCTTTTTATTTCTGTTTTTGTTGTTTAAAGGTTTTTACCTGTTAGCAGATTTCTTTTATTCAACTATATTATATGACATGTAACCTTATGTCTTTCATTATATATATAATTTTTATTTTCTCTCTTCGTGGCCTACTCCCCTTAGATCAGTTTAGTACAAAGTAGGAAGTAACTAAGAGGTTCTTGACTAGGCTGTCAGTAGACTATCGAGAAATTGGATTGTTTTGTGTATTGAGTACAAAGCTTTTTGAGGAGTAGACTTGCTAGTGAGTCGATCATACTTAGGGCTATATAAGTATCTGAGTAAGTCTAGAATTGTAATAATCATTCACTAGGTATATTTAGTTAAGCTCATTTAAATTAGTAATAGTTACTTGTATTATAATATAAGGGTAAAGTCTTCTGCATATTTAGTTTAACTTTTGTGTTTAAATGTATAGTTTAGCTTTATATATTTATATTGTAATCAGTATTAAATGATAATAAAATAAAAGATAAGATTCTCTTGTAGGGAAAAAAAAAACTTTTTTTTATTTAATTTTTGCAAGTTTTACAACTCTTAGTTTGATTTTAAGTAGTTTACAACTATTTGGCTTACTATAACTATATTGCTTGACTAAATTCTAAGTATAATCTTTATTTATATTTTACAGTTATTACTATTAAATTTTCGTTAAGCTTTACTTATTCCTTATTGATTTTTGTAGCTAATTTTTTTTTTGCATTACATGCTCCTTAAACTCAGCTAAATAGCTATTTATCCAATTCTTGATTGTACTCATATTTAGCATATCTTCTTTTTCTACCTTCTCAGATATTACAAATTCTTGAAAGAAATCATACATCTCTTGTGTAGTTAATTTATCATAAGGATTAATATTTCTATTCAAAAATATATTGACCAATAATTGTTTGACATGTTTCTTTATATATTTACTACTACTCTTTTTATCATATTTTTGATTCCTTTTTAGTGCCTAACCTTTTTCAAATCCATAGATTTAATTAATATTTATCAATTTATTATCTAGACAAGTAAGATGTATTTGAAAATTATTTATTGGTAGACTTAATCTAATATAATAATTATATAATGATTGTTAAATTTCTTACTTGACTCATTAAAATTTTTTAATATCAGACGAGGTAATATATTAATTATATCTATATTATCTTATACTATTAATTTTATAATATGTTGTATATCTTTAATAGATATATATAGCATATACATATTGTAAATGAAATTTTTTCTGATAGCTTTTACTATTTACTACTATATATAATACCAGTTCTTATTCAAGAAATTTATTTAAAATTGATTAGTATCAAGTACTATTCATATATCTGATGATTTTATTTGTAGAGAAGAGATACTTTATATTGTTATAAAATAGGTTTTAGTATATTTCTTAAATATTGTATTTTCATATTATTATATATAGTTAGATTTAGTTATTAGCAGTTTTCTTAATAACTTAATAGTCACAGATAGATTTAGACTTTACTATTAGATCCAGCTCGAAGAAATCTTTCAAATGAGCTATAATTCATAACTGTAGAATTCATAGTTTTAGAGTTGTCTTTGAAACAACTTAGAAATAGTTTCTGTTCTTACCATTCTTACCGTTCTTACCGTTCTTACTGTTCTTACTATTCTTACCGTTTCTACTGTTCTTATTCTTAATTGTAAAAAGCTATATAAACCCTCCCTTTTTCTTTTCCTGTAAAATCAGTTCTGTACAGTTCTAATTATACAGTTCTCTAATAAAGTTCTAAGTTCTCTATCAGTTCTTTAATAAATATGATCTTTTGGCTTTAAAAATAAACTTCTCTAACAAACTGCTACAGTGAAGTAACATTTCACTTTGACACCATTAGGAGTCTCCTTTCTGTGTCTTATATTACTTGGGGTATATTAAGAAGGCTACACCACTTGTAACATTTTGGTGCCTTCTGGCAGAAATGTCAAAAATGACATCTATAGGATCTCTCTTTAACTAAAAGAAACCTCTCTTTCTCTCCTTTGCTGATCCTCAAAACCAAAGAAACCTCTCTCTTAAATTCTTTGATGATCCTCCACTTATGTTACACAAACTCCGAAAAAGACCCATGATGTTCTAGCATCGATCTATATTACACAAAAAATGAAATGCAATCCTCCAAACCTAGGAATACCAAGTTGATATAATATAACTTTTATAAAAGTATATTGAGACCCAGAGAAGATTATACTTATGACTATTTGGAAATTGAAACCTCCAAGAACTTTGCCATTTACATGAGCAGACACAGATTAATAATATCTAGATGAACCATCAGAATTGTAGTACATCTCAAGCCTTAAAAAGAAAATCCAAAGAGAATCTTCTTCAAGAACGATTTATAATTGCATATCATATTTCACTAATATCTTCACGAATACTGAACGTAAAAAGATGAAACATATACCATTGTACTCGCAAGAACCTCCTCTACAACTTTCATTATAGTATATCTTAGTACGAAAATGCTTCCCTGATCTGCAAAACGGCTCCGAATAATTCTATCGGCATTTTCCAAATGATTTTCTTAAAAAAGCCCCAAGAAAAGAAGAGAAACATAGTTCTGACGATTTACAAAAATCGTCATATCTCACTCCCCACTGGACCAATTTTAACGTTTCAATATGCATTAGAATCGTAAGGACTTGGTCTACAAGTTTACTTAAGACACTAAGTCAAGGTTACATAGTATAAATATGCCTCTGAAACAGTTTTTGTGAAATTGATCTGCAAAGTATCATTTTTTTTACTGTGCCACATAGGCGAAAATTTTTAGAAATTTTTCCTACCTCCTACATGGTAGATGACCTCCACAAAACTCATTACTTTTAGGTTACCACATACCT